CGGCAAGGGAGCCGTCGCCGCTGCTGCCGCCAACCCACCACCGCCGGGAAGGGCCGGCGGTGGTGGGCGGAGTGGTCGGCGAGGGTCGCCGGCCCCTGACCGAGGCCCGGCGATCCTCGCCGAGACCCAGCGAGGGCCGGATCCGGCGAGGCGAGACCTCGCCGTCGCGACCCAGGCAACAGCGAGGTCTGGCCTCGCATTTGCTGGGCGAGAGGCGAGGCCTCGCCGTCGCCTGGGTTGCGACAGCGAGGTCTCGTCTCGCTCAGCAAAGGCGAAGCCGACCTCGCCGTCGCGACCCAGGCGACGGTGAGGTCTCGCCTCGCCTTTGCTGGGCGAGGCGAGACCTCGCCGTCGCCTGGGTCGCAACGGCGAGGTCTCGCCTCGTCGGATCCGGCCCTCGCCGACCACTTCGCCCACCACCACCGGCCCTTCCCGGCGGTGGTGGGTTGGCGGCAGCCCTCGCCGCTGCTGTAACGTTTTTTTTTTAATCAAAAAATTCAAAAATTCAAAAAAATTCACCTAATTTCCAAAAAAGCCACCTAATTTCCACGTGTACAAGTCAAACAATTTTTTTAAAATATAAACGCCAGGTCAGCTTTTTGGCCGGAATTTTGGCCAGAGTCACTAAAGTGATCTATTTTCCTCCGACTTGGCACCAAAGTGATCCGAAAAAAAGTTATGGCATCAAAGTGATCTCCGTACACAAGTTATGGCACTTCTGGTGTCCTTTTACCCAAAATCTTCAGTTGTACTCTCCTGTCCTTGTCTTAGACTTATAGTATATTCGTGTAGGAACAAGGGCGGGCCTATCTGTATGAATTAAAATGCTATGCTGGTCCTTTTACCAACCAAACCTACTTGTCATCCTTGCATTATCTGGCTATTGAATGGTTTATTACCTCACAATTCATGATTTCGGCGGTAACACTTGCTTTCTTTCTTAGTTTAAATTAGTTTGACAGCCGAGGTAGGATATGAACAATTTGTTCCCTTCGCTATTAATTTAATGAGCCTTCACAGTAAGCACAATCACTACTCAGGTAAACCATTTTTCTACTAAAGGGGGTATTCTAATGGACCTGAAGTTTGAAAAGTGCCTTCTTACGTAAGATACTTTATTCTTGGTTGATGATGGATTATCAAAGTCGACAGCAAACCATATTTTCTGCGGAAAGTAAGGCTTTTCGTAATCGCAACTAATGTGGACATTCATAAAGCACTATCAAAAGGCATAGATGAGAAAAGGACTGTGACATTGGGATGGATAAGTAAGAACTGTAAATTGCTAGTCCCAAATCGTCTCTTTTGGGGTTCACTATTCACTGTTTGATGGGAAAAAGACTGATAAGAAAAGGGCAACTCGTGTCGGCATAAGATAAGATCTGAAAACTCTGACCGAAGAAGCACGATCAAAAAGCATAAATGGGTCTAGACCAACCTAGCCTTTAGTGTTTTGCATGTAATGGATGTTAAACTAGCCAAATTGATGGTGTGCCTTAAGAAATTTAGGGGCAAAAATGCACGCTTAAACTAAGGATTGAAGAAGCGTCACAAATGGATTCATTCACTCCCAACTTTTTTCTGTCTTCTTTCTAAACGAAAAACTGTTGCAAAGCATTCAAGAATCATTCTCGAAGGTATCGGTGGGCATTTACCGCACCATATTAAGTTTACTGCTAGTTCGATCAAAAGCAAGTTAAAGGCGTGTTTGGCAACAGGTTAAACAGTAACTATTTCTATTCTTTTGTTTCCATAATCAGTTTTGGAACAGAAATCCGTTTAATAAATTTTTTGTTCTCGGGCACAAAATTGCTTCTTGATTCTGCCTGGGAACAAGAATTAGAAATGGAAAAGAAATTTTTTTTTTCTTCTTCTTCTTCCTAGCCTGTTGCTAGTTGCCAGCCGCCGGCCACTGGCGACAGGCCACATGCCAGATCCGGCGTGGGCAGCTCGCGGCCTGGACGAGGGCGGCTTGCGACCTGGGCTAGGGCCGCCCTCGTCAAATCCGACAAGGGCGACTCACTGCCTGGGCGAGGGCCGTCCTTGCCAGATCTAGCGAAGGTGACCCTCGCCCAGGCCGCGAGTCGCCCTCGCCCAGGCCGCGAGTCGCCCTCGCCGGCCCTGGCCATGGCCAAGGAAGGGGAAGAAGAAGAAAAAAAGAAAGAAATATTAAAAAATTCAAAATATTATTAAAATATATTTAATAAAAAGAAATTTTGTACGATTACCAAATGCATTTCTGTTGTTTTTCTATTTTAAGAATAGAAATTTTGGACAGTTACTAAACGCCTTCTAAAATGCCGGAGTTAGGGGATTGATAAGAATCTACTTTGTCAACTTGACCCTAATGATTGAGCCGAGTAGGAATCTCAGGCTAATTGAGATGGAAGATCGGTAGTTTTACAACTCGATCATCTATTGGATCCTTTGGTCAAATTTGGATTAGCAACACCAATATGGAAGACTCCATTTCTGATGTCCTATTAGCTTGGGGCTTCATTTGCACGCTTTCTTCAACATATATTTCCCCCATTTTGACTCCAAACTGTCTATAAGGAAATCAATAATCATAAATGATAAAATGCTAACCTTATTCTAATAGATAAAACCCATTGTTTTAATCCTATCCTATTGTTTGTCAACTTAAAGAAATCATGATTTGAAGGTTGAGACTAATGCAAACCAATGTCGTAAGTCTCTCCCATTTCATTTTAAATTTCTATTTCATTTTATGAAAAAAGAAGTCTTTTTGTTGAGATGTCCAAAAAATATCATCGAACTTTTCCTCTTTATTTTTTACACATTAAGAACATAAATCATTTTACTATAAAAATCTAGAGAACCTCTCTCCATCAATAATTGAAACGAAGCTTTTATTGTCTTACTTGCCCGTTGCATATTTTCCATTATTAGTGCATGTATCGTCAATTACGAAAAGATAGACGAACAATAATCACTAAAATCTGCTAAAAGCATGTCACGAAGGTATCTTAATGATGAAATTATCAAAGGTGTAAGAGAGAAATCTAAACATACAAGCATCCATCAAATGCATTTAACAGCACGAAAAGATATTTCAAGTGTATAAATAGTGACTTGGAGTGCACATGAACTTCGTTGCATAGCACTCTCTCTTTAGCATAACCAAACCATCAACCATTCATCACTCTCTCAAAACCTAAACCCAAAGGAATCATGAAGCAAGCCTCCAAGTTGATGTTGGTCTTCCTCTTGGTTTCTCTAATTTGTAATAGTCTCTCTCTCTCTCTCTCTCTCTCTCTCTCTCTCTCTCTCTCTCTCTCTCTCTCTCTCTCTCTCTCTCTCTCTCTCTCTCTCTCTCTCTCTCTCTCTCTCTCTCTCTCTCTCTCTCTCTCTCTCTCTCTCTCTCTCTCTCTCTCAATATTATGAAAACCTAACACGATTTTCTTATTTATTTAGGCAACTGATTTCATCTTGTTAATAGTTGGGAGGATATTTAACATTTTCGTTTCATAAGCTAACGCAAGGCTAAGGAAGAACCAGGAATACCCCTCTTTGCTTAATTTTGTAATTGCTTTCCTTCGTGTGGATGGCACGTGCTATTTCAAAATTAATATCTCCCAAAAAGAAAAAATAAAAATGACAATATCCTGAATTTTTGTTTTTTCCCCTTTTTTAGGTGAGCCATGGCTGGTGATAAGAGTTGAAGCATCATGTCAGCGAGATATTAATTACTTCTTTCAATGTCAAGGGGCCAAGTTAGCACTCTGCGTTACGAGGACTCATACATGTTCATGCATCAAATGCTTATTAACTAGTTCCTCCAATGTTAATGTCGAAATCCCAAATTAGTTAGTGTGATGAATCGAACTCTTGTTGTCTCTCAATAATTGAATCATAAATAAATTTGTCTGAGCTTATGAGCTTGCATAGGTCCTTATACTTCTTTTGATTTTTCGATCTTCCAATATAACTTTGGTCGGAAGATACTTTATATGATCCGAGATCTTCGTATTTCGACAATACCTAAATAACAATAAATAAGGAATGCTAAAATAAGAATCGATCAACTTGGTTAGATTTTTGTTCAAAAAGGGGAACGAGGATGTTTTGATACTCATCATGTTATAGTCCTACATCATGACCACGTAGAGCCAATCATTTGATTTTTTTTAAGTGATATTCTCCTCTTCTTCTTCTTTTGATTTTTCGATTCAAGCACTTTAACTTAGTATTTTAATTTGTTGTATTAATTTTTTGAGTGAGATTAAATTTCATCAAAAAGTCAAAGCGTCGGAATTTTGAAAAAGAAAATGAAATTAAGAAAGAGCCTTAAGAAGTCATATACTTTCAATCGCAATTCGACAAATTTTTTCGGTGAAATGCTTATGCGATTGCCATTCGGCAGTGATCTGATTTATTGAAAATTGTTCACAACAATCTAAAAGATCGTTAGTAATGTGACTAATTGCACCTTGGACCGGGAATAATAAAAGATTTAGGATGCATTTATTTCGCAAAAAATGAATGATTTGGAAAATATTTTCCTAAAGATGATCGCTTTTTTTTGCTTACAAAAATGAATGAATAAAGAACATTCTCGTCGTACACGAAAATATATAGACGTGAATTGTTATAGGTAATGAAAATATTTTTTATTGACTAATTATATCAAGCGATATAATCTATTATTCGCATGAAAATATTTTCAAAAATATTTATTTTTCGCAAAACAGAAAGAGCCTTATAGGACCCTATTTGTTTAACAAGCCGATTAAACTGAAATAATTAACTAAATGTGAATAAATAATTTCTTGCATAGAGATAAATTCTCCTGAGCATTTTCTTTATTTTTGAATGAGCAATATCGGAAAAAGCTTTCGACCAAAAAAAATTATCGAAAAAAGTACGAACTTGAAACAATAATTCCTCTGACCAAAAAACAAAAGAAAGAAAAAGAAACAATAATTCCAAATGCTATAAAAGAATTACGAAAAGTTAAAAAAAGAAAAATGAAACAAACCCACACGGTAGAAAATCCCTAAGCGGGAGGAATTACCGCGACACCCAATTCATCTGCGAAGGAAACTCGATCGACGAAGCAAACTCAAGAAGACGGAAGAGGGTACGATTCTTGTAAACTATACTTTTCTATGCGTGAAATGCGAGAAATGGGTCTGAAGATCTTGTTCATGGGGCTTGCATTTGGCTAAAAATCTTGTTCGTGGGCTTGCATGCACGGCATTGATGCGTACCATCACGGTTTCCTGCCATTCGAGCCGATCCTGCATTCTTTTAGATAGAGCGACCCCGTCATCGTGGTTAGGAGTGTTGGGCTTCTTGGGGGGAGCGTCGTGTGATAATCCGGCAAACCAGGGCGTAGCAATAATCGATTTCGCCACGAGGAAGAGGGAGAAGAAGAATGAGGAGAGACTGTTGTGCTGTTTGCATGGGAATATTTATGTACAGCTTTAATTATATTTGGCTTTGGAATGTACTGATTGTGGGTACACAAGTTGCTGAGGGTCGTTCAGTTTTTCTTGGCTGACGACGGAAAAGCTGGAACACGCCTTACTTGCCTTGCAGGACAAATCGAATTTTGTTGTTGGCAAGTCAAAATATGCCCTCTAGTTTTTGTTTCGTCGGATGTTGAGTTTATTTGTTGTGGGGTTATATCAGTGGGAATTGCTCCTATGTCTCTGGTTATTAATTGACTTTGCATTCTCATCTCGAAAAAGGGATTGAGAAAATTATGGTGGTGAGTGTACTTTGAATCAGAATGAGAGCCTAATTCATGGCATTTGAATATTCTTTTGGCCACTTCCATAGTTTTCTGCAATTTGCAGATTTCTCTTTGTTTCATTTACTGCTTTTGTTGGGTATTCCACCACCGAATCCTCATATTGTTTGCTGCAGTGGAGCAGATCGACTAATGAAATTGAGTTCACCTACAATATCAGTTATATCAAACAACTGTTAACTAGTTGACTAACTTTATTCTCGGTGAGTTTGAATTGCTGATTCTTCTTTGGCCTTCTGGTTGCTATTGCTCTTATTCCTCACCCATTGTTAATTTCAAACTTTCAAAAGGATATTTCCAAACGTAGTAAAATAATTTAGGACTGTCTCGCTTAAATATTCGTCAATTAGAATCCTATTCCTTTTAATCTAGCTTGTGGTCTTTTGCACTCTTTGATGGCTATTCATAAGTGTGTCTATGCATTGCTGTTCTGCCATAACAGTCAATCCTTGTTGAATGAAGATGATTAAGTTAATGCTACCTTATTCAGATGGCTAACAGTAAGCGTGATAAATGAGCTGTGTGTTTTCCATTGAGTTTGTCTTTTGCTGCTGCAATTTAGGCCTGTGATCCTCCTCTCATTTTATATCAGCCAGTTTCATGCTCTATTTTTTCTGCATAAGTGGTGCGACTGTTTCTTGATTTTCTTACCCGAAAGCTGCTGCTTTTGCAATGTCTTGTTGATCTGTGAAACAATTTCCTTTTCCACTTCTTTAGATCCGAAACAAACGGGAGATGGACTACAGCTCTGAAGAAGATTCAGATATTAGTGAGTCTGAGATATTGGACCACATAGACAGACCTTATGATGAGTTGAAATCCGGGAAGTACAAAGTAAAGGGCCCAAATGGAAGCTTAAGATGCCCTTTCTGTACGGGCAAGAAAAAGCAGGACTACAGGTATAAAGAACTATATCAACATACGGCAGGGGTGGGTACGGGCTCTGTGAATAGAAGTGGCAAACAAAAGGCAAACCACCTTGCCTTGGCGAAGTACCTGGAGACAGACCTGGCCAGCGAGGCAGACCAAGCTCCTCAACCGGTTGTGCCGCAACCTGCTGCACAAACGCCTCAGCAAGAAGAGGTTTTTGTGTGGCCTTGGACTGGAGTCATAGCCAACATTCTCGTTGACAAAAGCAGTGGGAAAGAACTCGTAGATAGTGCATATTGGCTGGCCAAGTTTGCCAAGTACAAACCTCTGAAAGTACATGTGTTTTGGAACGAAGACGGTCGGTCGGCAAAAGCTGTAGTGAGGTTTAACGATGATTGGCATGGGTTTATTAATGCGACAGAGTTTGAGAAAGAATTTGAAGCAGATAATCATGGAAAAAAGGGCTGGAATGCGCAGACAGAGCCCGGATCAAATACATATGGCTGGTGTGCGCGGTCAGATGACTATGATGCGGATGGGCCAGTGGGAGATTACCTTCGCAAGACAGGGAAGTTGCAGACAATCTCTGACATTGTTCAGGAAGCAGCTCAAAGTAGACACAGAATTGTCGCGCATCTAGCTAACAAGATTGATTTGACAAATGAAACTTTGGAGGAAGTACAGTCCAAGTATAATGAGCAGACTTTGTCACTGAGTAGGATGCTTGAAGAAAGAGACAAGCTTCACTCTGCTTTTGTGGAAGGTTCTCTCTCTCTCTCTCTCTCTCTCTCTCTCTCTCTCTCTCTCTCATGTGCTTGTGTGCATCCGGCCATGTATATGGAAATTCTCGCCTTTATCAGATTGTACGTCATAACATCTATGTAGTTCATAGTTGCGCTGGTGCAAGTTTTATGCGCACTTCATCAATTATCGAAAGTTGTGTGGTCAGTGCTGCATGCTAAAGATATGTTATGTCAAGGGCACTTTCCACATGCTGACTTTTTTATAAGCCTGAGGACTGATACTGGCACCAAAACTTAAATTCCCATTAAGTTCTATATGTGCCTGCTACATGGTCTCATTCTAAAGAAACATGACTTACATTTTCTTGTATTTTATTGTTTTTCCAGAAACAAGGAGGATGCAACGCCTTCAACGTGACAAAATACAAAGGATATTGTTAGAACGGGAGAAACTTAGCAATGACTTGGAAAAGAAGAAAAGAAAGATTGATTGTTGGAGCAAAGAATTGAACAAACGTGAAGCCCTAACTGAGCGTGAGAGACAAAAGCTGGATGAGGACAAGAAAAAGGTTACATGAAGCGAACATACTATTTGCCAAGACTATTTACTTCTTACTTTCACCTTTTAGCTACCCGACTAAATTAATATATTTTTGGAGCCTTCGTAACTACGCTTCTCGTGCAATTCTTTTTTAAGGGTGGTATTTGATTCATTTCTGCCTCGATCACCAATTTTATAGAAACACGGGCGAATTTAGGACTTTCGTCAATTGATGCAAAGTCGTGATCAGACATGTCCCACTGAAGCATCTTTACTGCATGCGTTTTAGTGAATAATGCTGAAGAAGGAAATAATCGGTTGCTCTTTATTGTTTGAACAATAAGAGCCTGATAGAAAAGGACACCAAACTGTTTGAATAATAATAGTGCTTACTTTTTTGTACTCGCTAAGGCGAGACAATTGCATTGAAAACTTAGCAGTTGGCTGGTTCTGATAGTACGCTGAAACCATTGGCATATGTCGTATTTAGTGAAGATCGCATGACCAGATGTATACTGATTTCTTCATTTGTCCTTCTAGAACGATGTCAAAAACAGTTCTCTCCAGTTGGCATCAATGGAGCAGAAAAGAGCTGACGAAAATGTCCTCAGGCTGGCGGAAGAACATAAGGTGTGAATGCTAGTGAAAAAAACTTCCATTTGATTACCATAGCATATTCTGCTTTATACATGACTGACGCTGCTAGGATTTCTAGAGGGTGAAAGAGGAGGCCCTGAGTAAGATCCTTGAGTTGCAACGGGAGCTCAACGCAAAGCAGAAATTGAAAATGGAGATTGAAGAGTTGAAAGGAAAAGTAGGAGTTATGAAGCACCTTGAAGATCAAGATGATGAAGCTGTTCAAAAGAAGATGAAGGAGATGAATGATGAACTGAAAGAGAAGGAGGAGGAGTTGACCAACTTGGAGGTTCTAAATTCTGCCCTCATTAGTAAAGAGCGCCAGAGCAATGATGAAGTGCAAGAAGCTCGTAAGGCATTGATCCAGGTACCATCTCTATTTTCTGTGCATAGCCACACCCTAGGGTATAATTTTGTTGCTGGCACTGACTGAATATTGCACCTTTTCTCCAATCTGTGAAAAGTTTTTGTTCATAATTTTCACAGATCAGAGTGTTATCAGAAGATTCCTTTATTTACTTGACAAATTGAACATGAAGTTAAGTGCAATATGAATACAATGGACTTATATTTTTTCTTGTTACCTAAAGGAAGCCCCTCTTATAGGGTGATACTCACTAGGTTCCAATCATCTAAGTTGCCGGCAGGTGGTCCTAAATTTGGTAATAGGAGTCGGAATTGAAATAGATATCAACTTATTCTTTTTGTTTCTGGAAAGGGTCTGATTGATCAGCCGGGTGCACACACAAATATTGGGATCAAAAGAATGGGGGAGCTTGATGATAAGCCGTTTCTTACTGCTTGCAAGAAAAGATTTTCACGTCAGGAAGCACAATTGCAGGCCAGTACATTGTGCTCTTTCTGGCAGTCACAGGTGAATTCGCAGTGGCATCCATTCAAGACCGTTGAGATTGATGGGAAAATTCAGGTATGAAATGTTCATGTTTTTCTCTTTTCCAAATTTTCCAGTTGTGATAGTACTTATTGTGGTAGTTTGATCCTGATTGTCCAAGTCTGATTGGACGTCACTCAGGACTTCAAAATCTGTTGTGAGTTGGAGCTCTGGGTTGGCCAGGTCGGTTGAGGCCATGGTTCTCCAGCATTAGTGCTAGGTTTAAGTCTCCACCTATGTATCGTATTAGGAAAAAAAAAAAGGACTGCAACTTGTATTGCTCAACATGCCATACCTATTTGTTCAACTAGGTAGGTTAGTTCTCCTTCTCATTTGGCACTGCCCATAAGTCCCAGGCTTCCAGCACAAGAAGCTGTCTGTACTCAATGGAGTCTTGGTTAAATATTGACGGCCTTTTTTATGCCTTTCTGCTCTTTTACCACCATGTAATGGTAATAATCTTGTGCAGTCAATGCTTGTTGAAGAAGATGAAAAACTACAAAAGCTTAAGGAGGAGTGGGGTGATGAGGTCTACTCAGCAGTTGTCATAGCTTTGAAAGATCTGAATGAATATAATCCAAGCGGAAGGTATATTGTACCCGAGCTCTGGAATTTCAAAGAAGGAAGAAAAGCCACTTTGAAAGAGGTCATTGCTTATATTGCGAAGAACATCAAATCAACCAAGCGCAAGAGAACATGAGTCTGAGGTTTGTCCTAACTGCAATTCCAGTTCTACATTTTCCGTTTGCTTGATGGGATTTCTATCTAACTTGTTAATATGAGCACAATCAGTCAACCAAATTCAGTTCTCTGAAAGCTTCATCATCTTTTAACACAAGAAGATCGTGTCTATTATCTGCATTATGTTGTGTGATGATCCTGTAAATAGTTTGTGAATTTTTTTTATAATTGTTTAGAGGCTAAATTAGAGTTATACAATAAATTTGGATGATTGTTTAAGTTCCCCCATGCATTACTTATTTAACCCATACAAATGTCTCCTTGACTAAAATAGGATCCGATTAAGGCTTCGTTTGTTTTACAAAGAATGAATGATTTTGAAAACATTGTCGTAAAAATGATCGCTTGTATCATTTGAAATAATTAGTCAATGGAAAATGTTTTCATTGTTGATAAGACTTAGTCTAAACATTTTCATGAACGATGAAAATATTCTTTGTTCATTCATTTTTTGTAAGTGATATAAGCAATAGTTTTTAGGGATAGATCTTCCAAATCATTCATTTTCCGTGAAACAAAGGGAGCCTAAATTCGATTGCTTTATCCATGCCCCACTTTTTATTTTTATTTTTATGGAGGCCTTTAGTAATTCGATTGACTGGCCAATTGATTGAAACTTACCGAATATGATGGAGCCTCTTTATAGATACCCTGTTGAAATTTCAAAATTGTTTGACACTGGGTTGTGGGTTCGCAGGGATGAATTTGTCTGAAGGAGGTATGCTAGAACTGATGTTTAGACTATTGTTATAGCGCTGCTGTCGCGGATATTGATACTTTTGTTAGTTTGATCATCACTAGACAATAGACTGCTTTGAACTTAAATTAGCTGATCAAACATTAGGATGTTCATCTGTGTATCGGAGCATGGTTCCTACTAAACCCTGGAATTCCCAGAATTTGCTTTCTTGCTTGCCATGTTAGCGAATGGTGGGCGGGGGTTTGTGTTAATTTTGCGGTAATCTTCTCAAGCCATGTAATTAGTAGTTCTAATAAAGCTTTCTTGGGTTGGTCTTACCACGCATCCCCGAAGGGATGGTGATTGCAGATTAGAAAATTTCATGCTCTCGGTCGAGCATCCATACGGTCAGCAAATCTACGCTGGTCACTTGTGTTGGTTTTGAATGAATCAGAGATTAAGTCATACACTAGAGTACCTACAGGGAGGAAGAATGAAAAAAAAAAAAACATCCGATAAGTAGAGGCATCCACGTAATTGGGATGAGGGTGCCAGAGAGATTTGATTTTCTTCTGTTTAGATGTTAAACAGAAAACAGATGAACAAGTTCGAGCCATTTTACGTCAGGTCAAACCGGCGTACGAAAGAAAAAACAGAGGAAAATCTTTTTTTTTTTTTTGGTAACCGAAGTGTCCGGGCCAGCTTGCGCGCACCTCGACTATTCCTCGGAGGAGACTAGCACAGCAACCCACCGTCATGGCCCCCCACTTAAATCACAAGTGTTCAGCTGGGGAATCGAACCTGGGACCAGTGCGCCTAACCACACAATCCCAAGTACGCCCTAACCAACTGAGCTACCCATGGGTGAGGAACAGAGGAAAATCTTTCATTTAACCCAATTGCTAAATAGCTTATTATTGGCTTTTTTTTTGTCGGAGCTTATTATAAGGAAGTCAATAATCATGAATGATTAAAGGCTAATTATTCTAAAAGATAAAACCCATTGTTTTAATCCTGTCCTATTGTTTAGGGGTGAGCATGCTCCGGGTGGACGGTTCCTACCTTAGAATCGGGAATCGTTCGCTGAGGATCGGTTCTGAAAAATTGAAATCGGGAATCGCTCATTGGTTTCATGAACCCAATCAGACCGGACCGCGGTCCAGTTCGGTTTTCAGGTGAGTTCATGGAACCAATCCCACCAAGCTTTCCTGGACAAATCAGAATGATAAGAGAAAGAAACCAACACAAGAAAGTCGATTTTGCAAAGTGAGAATAATTTTAATCTGAAAGCAATCTGTCAAATAGCAGCGGTCCGGTTTCCGAGTAGGTCCGTAGAATCGGTCCCATCAAGCTTCCCTGGACAAATTAGAAAATGATAAGAGAAAGAAGCCAGAACAAGAAAGTCAGTTTTGCAGAGTGAGAATAATTTTAATCTGAAAGCAATTTGTCAAATAGCGAGACAGAGAAATACAGCCTACTAGCAGCATATCATAGTGTTGAGGGTCTCTAAAGTCTTAAACTCGAATGAGATGAAGTCGTGTTGAAGGCATGTAAGATTGACGCTAGGGTTGCTTCGTGTTCTTTCTTTTTTGAGGATGCGAGCAAGTAAATTCCGTAAAAGAAGTGAGCTGATAATTTTTCAAAATATATATTATATATAAATATACCGGTCCAAGCAGTTTCACGCCTGGAATCGGGAGCCAGACTGGTAGCCACCGGTTCCAGTAAATTGGAACTAGGAACCGAATCGAACCGAACCAGTCCCCACGGGAACCGCCGGTTCTAGGCCGATTCGGTCCAGTTCCGGGTAGTTCCCAGTTTCTTTGTACACCCTTACTATTTCAAATTTCTATTTCATTTTGTGAAAAAAAGGTCTTTTTGTTGAAATTTCCGAAAAATATCATTGAAATTCCTCTTTATTTTTTACACATTAAGACCATAAATCTTTTTACTATGAAAATCTAGAGAACCTCTCTCCATCAATAATTGAATTGAAACTTTTATTGTCTTACTTGCCTCAGGCATATTTTCCATTATTACTACATATATCGTCAATTACGAACATATAGATGAACAATAATCACTAGAATTTATTAGAAATATGTCACGAAAGTATCTTAATGATGAAATTACGAAAAGTGTAAGAGAGAAATCTGAACATACAATCATCCATCAAGTGCATTGAACAGCACAAAAGATATTTCAAGTGTATAAATAGTGACTTGCTGTGGACATGAACTTCATAGCATAGCACTCTCTGTTTAGCATGACCAAACCATCAACCATTCATCACTCTGTAAAAACCTAAACCCAAAGGAATCATGAAGCAAGCCTCCAAGTTGATGTTGGTCTTCCTCTTGGTGACTCTAATTTGTAATACTCTCTCTCAATATTATGAAACCCTGGCATGATTTTCTATTTTATTTAGGCAATTGATCTCATTTCGTTAATTGTTAGGGAGATATTTAACATTTTTGTTTCATAAGCTAACGAAAGGCTAAGGAAGTACCATGAATACCCTAATTTGCATACTTTTGTAATTGCTTTCCTTCGTGTGCATGGCACGTGCTATTTCAAAATTAATATCTCCCATAAAGAAAAAAGAAAAATGGCAATATCTTGAATTTCTTTTCCCTTTTTTAGGTGAGCCATGGCTGGTGACAAGAGTTGAAGCATCATGTTAGAGGGATATTGATTGCTTCTTTCAATGTCATGGGGCCAAGTTGGCACTTTGCGATATGAGGACTCACACTTGTGAGTGCATCAAACGTGCATTAACTAGTTCCTCTGATATTAATGTCAAAATCCCTAATTAGTTCGTCTATGGAATCGAACTCCCGTTGATATCTTTCAATAATCGAATCATTAATAAATTTGTCAAATCTTGTGAGCTTGAATTGGTCCTTATAATGCTTTTGATTTTTCAACCTTCCTATATAACTTTAGTTGGTTGATGCTTTATATGGTTCGAGATCTCCGTATTTCAACAATATCTAAAGAATAATAAACGAGTAATGCTGAAATATGAATTGATCATACTTGGTTTGATTTTTGCTCAAAAAGGGGAACGAGGGTGTCTTGATGCTATCATCATAATATAATCCTACATCATGACCACATCATGACCACGTAGAGCCAATCATTTGATTTTTTTAAGCGATATTTTCATCTTCTTCTTTTTTCGATTCAAGCACTTTGACCACATCATTAGTATTTTAATTTGTTGTATTAATTTCTTAGTGAGATTAAATTTCATAAAAAGTCAAGCGTCGGAATTTTGAAAAAGAAAACGAAATTAAGAAAGAGCCTTAAGAAGACATATACTTTTAATCGCAATTCGACAAGTGAAATGCTTATTTGATGGCCATTTGGCAAGGATATGATTTATTGAAAATTATTCACAACAATCTAAAGAATCACGAGTAATGTGACTAATCGCACCTCGGGCATAGATTAATAAGAGATTTAGAGTGCGTTTGTTTCGCGAAAAATGAATGATTTAGGAAACGTTCTTCTAAAAATAATTGCTCGTTTCGCTTACAAAAATGAATGAATGAAGAACATTCTCGTCGTACATGAAAATATTTAGACATGAATTATTATCGATAATGGAAACATTTTCCATCGACTGATTATTTTAACCGATACAATCTATCAATCTTAGGAAAATATTTATTTTCTGTGAAACAAACGGAGTTTCATGAGGCCCTATTTGCTCAACAAGTCGATCAAATTGAAATAATTAATTGTCGCGACGGAGGGTTTCGCCTAGTACGCGCTAAGTCTAGGTTCGGGATTTAACTCGGGCTCTCCCAAGCCCATACCATATCGCGACTTAGGGTTTAAGTACTTAACATGCAAGTGGTTTATATCAAGGAGTCGCCACTAATCGATTTGGGGTGGGTCGATTAGAAACCCAAATAAGGTGATGGGAGAATCACCCTATTCCTACGGACCAGAGATTAAAATGAGTTCGGGGACTTGGTTACACTAGTTGGATAACTAATGCCCTTTTGGGTACCATTTTACCTTGTTCATTTTTTGAAAATATTTGTCAAGCAATTTAGATTGATTTTAGGACCTTTCTCCTAACATGTGAGGTGATCAAGCGAGTGCATAATCAGAAACGATTAGCAGTAAAAAACACAACAATTCATGTAGCCTAAGGTTCTAACCTTAACTAAGTCAGATGACATTCAAAACACAACAACTCATGCAATTGTATTAAAAACATGCATAATAGTACAACGGTAATAAAAATAACATGCAAAATACTACCGCGCAATCTCAGGCTTGTCTAATTTAAACATGTCAATTTATGCGATTATTTTAACAACATTGCATAATAATTAAAACATTTAGATATACCACATAATTTTTTAATAATTTTTTTTTCTTAAAAACAATATATAATAATAATAATAATAATAATAATAATAATAATAATAATAATAATAATAATAATAATAATAATAATAATACGGAAGGAGAGAGAGAAAAAGAAAAAAAAGTAAAATAATTTTTTTAAAATTTTTTAATATTTTAAAAAAACGGAAAGAGAGAAAAAAAAGAAAAAAAAATTTAATTTTTTTAAAAATATATTTATAAAAAAAAAAAAAAAGAAGTCGGATCCGGGTTGGTCGGATCCGACCCGGGTCAACGGATCCGACCCGGGGCATTGACCCGGGTCGGATCAGCTGATCTGGGTCGGTCGGAACCGACCCGGGTCAACGGACCCGACCCAGGGCGTTGACCCGAGTCGGGTCAGTTGATCCGGGTCGGTTGATTCGGGTCAGGTCACCCCCGCGTGTACAAACACGCGGGAACGCCGGAGGAGCCAAAATTGGCCTTCCGCCGGCCAACCCAGGCCGCCGCCAACCGAGAACCGACTCCTGGAGAACATTACCAAGTCCCACCGCCCACCTGGGTCGCCGTCCGACCGCCGCTCGCCGGCCGGAGACCGAATTAAAAACCGGCCTCTTTGAGGCATTTTGTCGAGCAGATGGCGTGCGTGACCAAAATAAACGGTTTTCGACCTACCTCGGGGATCCGGCGCACTCCGGCGGCCTACCTTACTTTCAACGGCGACACACAGACCATAGGGGACGACGGTATGGGCCGAGATTCGTGCGAAACGGCCGGCACAAGTCCCGGCCAAACCGGGCATAGAAACAGGGGCGAACAGGGGACTCGAGGGGCTCACCGGTCGGCGGAGATTCTGGCGAGTCTCCGGCTGATCTGCGGGCGACGGCGCGACTACAGGGACCTGCAAACGCTCAAATCTCCTCTCTTTCTCTCTTTTTTCTCTCTGTTTTCTCTCGGTTTCTCTCAGACTCTC